GGCATCATCAGGCGCCAGAGGACCTCATCTCGGCACTGCTCACAGCCCCATAGAAGGCAAGAGATTTAACAAGAAGAGTTTGTGTTAATAGGAAGAGCATATGTTTCCTGACAGAGCAATGGTGACACCATGTGTTGGAAAGAGTTGAAAAATGTTCACTCTCCTTCAGGTTTTTATTACTTTCTTCTATGCTAAAGTAGAACTATAGACAAAACTTTTGTTTTCATTTTGGATAGAGTAAAGGAGGATTATTACCGACAGTTTTTTTTTGCCATCTGTGTCCCATTGCAGAGATTTTCCTTCACTTCCTGTCCCATAACCAAAACAGGAAGTGAGAGGAAATCCCTGCAAAATTAAGGGAATCCTTTGGGGCCCCCAGGTCATGAGAAGTAGTGTCCCCATTGAAAGATTTTCCATCTATTACTCTTCTGAGGACAACCCAAAATTTGAGATTTTCTTTTACTTTCAATTTCAATGATAATGGTAAACAAGACAAATAGGATGAATCTCTCTAACAGGGGCACAGACAGCAATTCATGCCTAATAGGTGTTCTAATCCCTCTCCACCCTATCCAAAACTAACAGGTTGGGGTTGTCTATGACCTTAGTAGGAATATTCCCCTTTAATTGCTGGTTCACTAATCACACAGGAATCCCCAAAATGGGTACTTGGTCAGTGACAAAACCTGTCAAAGATTCTAACCCCGTTCCACTTTGTCCAATGTTAAAATACAAAGTTCAGCAAGAGCTGGCCATAGCTGGATCATAATTTTTTTGATCAGCCAGCAGGCTGATCAGAAAAAGAGAAAAGTGAACACATTTCCTGGTGTGTTATTGTATTCTGACAGTAGGGACTCCTCCTCTGCCAGAATACACTGATCAGCGCTGCAGCTGATTGGCCCTGATCGAATGAAAATTTCTCAATATTCATGTTTGAAAGAAGCCAATGAGTAGGTTGACGTCTCTTGAGTGGGAATGGCCAATTTTTGATCCATCCATAGCCAGCTTAAAGTGTCACTAAACCCACAACAGTGAAATCAATCTGTATATGCACTAAAGCATGCTTTGTATACTCACTGCGCAACCTAAGGAGTTAATTCTCTACATTGTGTAAAAAGGCTGTTTCTTCTCTGATCCTCCCCTTCTTCTACTGTCCCCAATCCATGTGTTGATAGTAAAGAACTCTAGGAGTCACTCTGCACATACTCAGTTTAGTGTGTATTGCTACAGAGTTTTTTTTTTTTCTGTGGGAGGATGCATGTGATCAGCACAGGGCCAATCAGTGCTGTCCAGACAGATGGTCAGGGGTAGTGCAGCCTCATAGGACAGTCAGAGCAGAATGAAAACTCCTCCTACGAGATTCAACCAGTGCTCAGCTGGACACTGATAGAAGTCACATGACTGCTATATACTGCTGATGAGAAAAGGTATTTAGCAGTTTTTTATTTACTAAAATAATTACATTTCCATGTTCTATGTACTGTGGGAGACCAGATATAGTGAATGCAGGGTCCAGGGTTTAGTAACAATTTAAGACTGTTACTTTAAAGCGATTCTAAAGGTTATTTTTTTTTTTTTGTAAAATACCAAACATGTCTTTACTTATCTACTGTGTGCAGGCTGCAGAATGCATGAAGGTAAAAAACCTTCAGCCTTTACAGCCACTTAATGGTTCAATAGAGGGGATAAAACCCTATCAAATTATTTTGTGCTGGAGAGATTTCCCTTTGTTTTTTATCCTTGAGATGCAACAGAAAATGAGAGGCAATCCCAAAATGAAGAGAATTCACAACTTAGACATTTGTCATCAGAACAGGTGTCCCCAATGGACGATGGTTCTGGTGACAACTCTAAAAATTTGGATTCACCATTACTTTCTGCCTCAGTGATCACCAGTTTATGGTCACCAGGACACATAAGAAAAGTAACTCTGCCCAGTGGTGACTTGGACAGCAATACAAACTTTACAAGGGTTCTAATCCTTTCAAACTGTATGCAAAACTAAAAAAATGGAGGTCTGCCATTACACACACTTTAAGATGGTCATGGTTTTCTAATGTTCAGAAAATTCTAATAGGCTTTTTTGAAGTGGCCATATTGGATATAAATAGCTTGGCAGACTTCTTTAAACTAACACAACAGAGCGTGCAATTATGATTTGCCCCTGATTACAAGAGGAGGCCGTAAAAGATTCCCATTTGTCTGGTTATTAGTTGGATGAGAGGAGAAGAAGTCACAAGTGACGGACTAATTTACAAGTTAATACCCAGAATTCCCTGGTACCAATTAATCAGCCTGTGATGGGAAGCTGGCACAATGGGGGAAACGAATGGAAATATATTCATAACATATTATCTGGCCTATTATTAAAAAGTTATCAACCTGTTATCCTTTCACAAAGGGTTTGCTATAGAAAAAAGGAGGCTTTTGTTATGTAGAATGCAAATTTCGCTTGGGATGTGTCAGCTAAGCGGGTTTTGTTATGTTTCAGATTAAGAATGAAATCCTAAAGGAGGGCTCTAATCAGGAAACAATTTGACAGTAAACTTGCATAGCATCTAATTATTTGAAAGGCAGATAAACTGGAGCTAAGAGGAAATCCTGGCGTTCTTAAAAGATTTCATATAGATCTTAAAGAGAACTGGTCATGATTAGGGTGGTGTTAGGATTCTGCTACAAGATTGTAAGCTCCAAGGAGCAGGGCCCTCCTATCCCTCTTGTATTGAACTGTATTGTTGCTGTATTGTCTCCCTTTACATTGTAAAATGCTGAGCAAATGGTTGGCGCTGTATAAATCCTGTATAAAAATAATAATAATAATAATAAAGTGCGTGTTGTATTATTGAAGCTTCAGAGCTCCTTGAGAGCCCTAAAACGAGGGGATTGCTCAAATTTGCAAATCCAAACTTATTCTGAAAAGTCCTATCTGTTTCGCCCTTCTTCATCTCATCACATGTATAATGATTTTATATATAAAGTGTGATCTTCATTATGATCGGGACAAAAGAAAAGTTCCATATGAAGATTTCATACTTACTCCTTCAGCCAGCAGGTGGAGCTCCAGGATCCTTTTCTTCCGTCTCTTCTTAGCTGCTCTGTTGATATGGCTCTGGATTTTGCTTAGTAAAGCTGGGTAGTGATTGTACCTTGCTGCTCCTCTACTGGTCAAGTATAAGTGATTGAAAACAACAAACTGTATTGGGTTAATTTTGAAATGATCTCAGTGAACATTAACGGGAGATTAGGGTGTGTTTTCGTAAAAGGAATATTTTGATTCATAGACTTGAATTGTGAGAATGAGCAGTAAAGCACAACCATTAGGTAGCACTACAAAGCATGAAGCTGACTCTGGGTATTTAATGAGCAAATATGAATGAACCCATGCACATATAGAATTAGCAGCTATACATAAAATTAAAATGAAAAAACTTAATTTTTTAAGTGTTTTAAAACTTTAATAAAAGTAGTTTATTCGTTACAGTGAATTGTTCATTTATTTCAAACATTCTTCTTTTGCATGTACTATATAGTATCTGAGACTACAGTTTCTTTAAAGTGGAACTTTTGGCAACTTTACTAAAAGTCTTAAGATTTTTTAAAGTCTTTAGGAAAAAATACCTAACATGACACTATCCAGCACCAATATAATAATAAAACAACTCCACCCCTAATCATTAAAAAAACAGTCCTTTATCTCCAGTCTAGTGACTTTGCCCAGAATGAGATGATGCCAGTCTGCTGCAGGCAGAGGAATCATTTCCTCAATCTCCTCTCCTCAATGATCAGATGATACCATTGTAACTTTGTAGCACATCACAATGAGATACTGCTGCAGGGGTAATATGTGTCAGACATTTGTGAACACAGATAAGAACTGCACAGGTACCAGGTTTTTCATGATTGTGTCACTTCTGAGCCCAAGAAGTAGATGATGACCTTAGGACCTTTGGATGATGCCTGAACAAAGATGGTCCTGATTTTCTGTATAGAATAGCAGATGAAGACATCGGGGTTGATTTACTGAAACTAGAGAGCGCAAAATCTGGTGCAGCTGTGCATGGTAGCCAATCAGCTTCGAATTTCAGCTTGTTCAATTAAGCTTTGGCAAAAAAAAAAACCTGGAAGCTGATTGGTTTCTCTGCAGAGTCGCACCAGATATGCCATTGTCATGGGGAGTACTGTGACCTTTGTGATTGGTAATAAATACCTGGCAGTGTTAAGGTGACACATTGCTTAGCATGCATGTGTTTAATATATATTAATATTTTTTATTTTACAATTCTGTCCCCTATTGGAAAATGTACATGTTGTACTTTGTTGCATATTTCTATGTGCTTTCTAACTCTAGTTATGAGGTTCGACCTCCCTCCCATCCCCTCCCGTGGCTGCTGATCTAACAGCTATGAAGGAGACAACTGATTCATAAGTGCAGCTTGTGTTGGCTGTAAACACTGTCCACAGACAAGTAAGGGCAAGAGGAATGGGGGATGTATGGGTCTCTGCATTTCTCTTGCTGATGCGTGTCTCGGGAAAGTGCTCACAGTCAAGACAAGCTGCAGCTATGAATCGGCCATCTCCTTCACAGCTGTTGTTGGATCAGCTGCAGCAGTAGGAAATGGGGGGGAGGTCAAACCTCATAACTTGGGTTAGAAAGCACTTAGAAACATGGAACAAAGTACTGCATGCTCCATAGGAAGCAGGACTGTCAATATATTGTATAATGACAGATCTTCTTTAATATAAAGTGATGGTAATCACACTCCCTGGATATTCAGATGACCAGTAGAAGGAGAAATGACAAATGTACACCTGAAATACAATAACAAAGACAAGTAAAATGTGAAAGTTAGGACAAAAAATAACTTCCAGGTAAATGTCACAATGACTTGAAACATGTGCAAAGGACTCAGATTCAGATAAGTAACTTTCCATAAACTATAGATAATCCATTTTGCAGAGTATTTTCAAACTGGTGATTTTGTTTCTTCTTTGTCTTTCAGTTCCTTATTGACTGGATCAATGATGAATTAAAGCAGGAGCATATCGTAGTAAAGAGCTTAGAGGAAGATCTCTTCGATGGGTTAATTCTTCATCACCTTTTACGTAAGATATTTTTACACCGTTTTATAATCTGCCGGAGATCAGGAGCTCAAGCTGTTGCTATAGATTGGCTGATGGATTTGGCTGAGATTCACATCTCCGACTTGTTTACCATCTCAGGTTTAAACTCGGCTGTGTGTGAAATGCATGTCTATTTTCTTCCCCAGACTGAGACAAGATCTGAAAGAAAAAAGAGGCATTTCATTTTATTTTTAACTTCTTGAAAAATGTAGACATTGGAGTGTTAGGGAGCCTTTACTTGGGCATCCAAGCAGGTGGTTGAGCTGTGGTTTTACCACCCCACGACAGTCCACCTAAACACAGAAATGCAGCTGCTCAGGGCTGTACCCATGCCATGGCTGTGACATTTTGCTGTGCAACCCCAGCAAAGATTAAAAAGCATGTTGCATTCGAAGAGTGGCACTGTTGCCAAATTTGATCCATTCAAATGAATAGGGGCGCACCACAACAGCCCTGCAACTGTATGCAACGCATGCAGTCATGATGTTTTAGGTCAATGGGGGATAAAGCAAGCATCAAAGAGGCAAGATGCCTCCTCCTTACTGTCTGCCAAACACCTCTGAAAAATTATGAACATTGATCTCTTTTCCTTTCAGTAGTTTTTATTGGATTTTGACAGTTTTACATACAGGATACAAACTCAACCTCGTTCTAACACTAAAACAGGATCATAACTTTGAACAGATGTTAACAGCGGTCTTATACAAATGGAGTATAAATAAAATGAATAACTTTCAGGATAACTTGTCAAAAGAGTAGAAATAAACATACATACATTTTGTGTCGGTCGACTAAATAGTACACAGAAAGGTACCTATCTGTACTGCAACAGCCGACATCGGTAAAATGGTATATCATTTAAGATATATGGATATGTTAACAAAACAGGAGGTGTATAAAGCACCTTGTGGTACATAGGGCATCCCCGTGGAAGAGCCACAGATCAAAAATCAAGATAGGAGAGGAGAAGGAGAAAGTAGAAACAGGATGGGGGGGAGGTCAGCTAATACGCTTGAGATCAGTTTATGTTGTTGAGTGAGGTTATAATGAGGAGAGGCTGTTCAATGAAATCTCCAGGTGGGCATATTGGATCCATGGGGGTCCAGATTTTAAGGAATCTTTCATGAGTGTCTGAAAAAATACTGGATAGTTTTTCATTTGTTAGAAAAAAGTCAAGGCGGCAGTGAACCTCTATAAAGGATACGAACTGCTGTTTCCAGGCTTTCGCTATGGTTTATTTGGCCATCAATAGTATGTGAGTGGCTAATTTAAATTGATGTTTAGACATGCCCGGAGGTTTTAAGTGTAAGAGAGTGTACCACGGGTCTCTCGGAAAGGGGCTAATGAATAATGATTGGAATAGTTTGAGAACTGTTGACCAAAATCGGGAAAACATAGGGAATGTCCACCATTTATGCAGAACATCACCCGGTGCATTACAGCCTCAGAAACAGATTTTAGGGGCTGATGGGTGAAGAGATGCTAAGCGGGATGGAACAACATACCATCTTGTCACCGTTTTGCAGGCCATTTTCATAATGAGGATATTGATGGAGCATGAGGTCAGAGTTGACCATATCTGTGACCAGCATGTATGGTCTTTAGTGTCCTTAAGGTCTCTTTCCCATCTGGAAACATACATGTGATTGTTGGGGTTCTGTAGGTTAAATAATTGTGAATACAGGATAGAAATGAGTTTAGGGGGGAGAGAGGTGTCTGGTGGCATATTTGTTCAAATAAAGATAGTTGTGTGGTTGGGTCTTTATGAGCAAGTACTGAATTTACCCAATGTTTGATCTGTAGATATCGGAAAAGTTCAGTAGAGGGGGCTTGATGTTTATAGCTTATTTCTGTTTAAGTGTAAACCGAGCGACCTGTAAGAAAGGAATGGATACATTGGAAATTGTGCAAAATCCACCAGTAGAATGCGGTTGGGAATTCGAGGCCAGGTGGAAAGAAAGGGTTGCCTACGAGGAGGAGGAGTGGTAGGTGAGGAGAGATAAGGCCACTGGTATATTTTGTGGAGTCCCATATACACAATGACTGGACCATAAAGGACTGACAGAGGTGGGTCTAGATTTCGGAGGGAGCCATAATAGTGAGGAGAGGGAGGTCAGGTGGCATGAGAGCGCTTCTAAAGTTACCCATATGGGGGCTTGTTGTGCTGCATACAATCAGGTTAAAGGTGCGATTTGAGCAGCCACATAGTACTTACCATTGATCTCTTTTCAGAGGAGCAGCCGCATGTGTAAATGAGCCTTTAAAGTGAGATTGTTTTTTGTGATGGTTGGAAAACTGTCTCAATGTGTCTTTGAGTATAGGTTACCTCCCATCTACCTCCTAAAGTAGTTGTAAGTCTTTAGCTTGCTAAAGCACTGTGAAAACAATTGCCATTTTTTAAAATAAAATACAGTACTTCTTTTTACTTCTTTTCCTTCTCTATGCTGCTAATCTCCTACAGTCTCTTTTCAGCCACTTCATGTCTACATGCACTCCAATGATGTCTGCATGTCTGCATGCTATTTCTCACAGCAGACTTCCTGATGGTTACAACAAAGAACCATGGGACCATGCCTGTATAATATGTGTTGAAATGGTTGCTTGTAGTCTTCATCAGAATCCCATTAAACAAGGTGACAGCACAATGGGAGACATGGACAGAGCGTTGTCACCATATAACAAAAATTGCCAGAACAAAGATCTTCATGCTGGATCACCAAGTATTATTTTTAAGAAAAACTCTATGAAATGTCTTTTTTCTCCCATGCAGTAGGGATGTGCCCGCACTGCATGAGTTAACTGCTCGTTTTGGCTAGGGGCAACCCGAAAGGCTATACTTACCCGATCCTTCAATCCTCCATAAAACTGTGCTCCCCCAGATCCAGCAGTGGACTGCTCCTGCTGTATTTTCTTCCAGAAACGGGCTATGGGCGTGATGTCTAGAACAGTCCGTTCACAAGACTGCTAGTGTGCGGGGGAGCAGAAACAGCTGGGACCGTTCTTGCGCTCAGAGGATCAGTGTATTAGGTAAGTATGACAGTGTGTACTCTCCACCGCTTCAGGAATCAACTGCCAAAGGGAAACCAGGGGTACCAGCGAAAAAGGTAGCCTATGGATAGCGTTTCAGGGATGCAGCCCTCTTCAGACAGGGAAATCAACAACTGGAAAAAGAGCAAACAGGTGGTGCAAACACCTAGTGCATTATGCAAGGTTTATTAGAAAAGACAAAAAACGAAAACATATTTACAGACATAGCTTAAAGTATGGAAATCGAGATGGCCACAACAGTGGGCAGGGTGTTGCTAACAAGTGGAACAAACTGACACTCGGACCACCCTGCCCACTGTTGTGGCCATCTTGATTTCCATACTAAGCTTTACAAACATGCTATGTCTGTGAGTATGTTTTCATCTTTTTGACTTTCTAATAAACCTTGGATAATGCACTAGGTGTTTGCACCACCTGTTCGCTCTTTTTTTTAGGTAGGTAAGTATACTGTATGTCTGCTCTGCAATCCCCTAGACAAAAATGAGCAATTAAATCAGCAGTGTGAACACAGCCCCATTGCTGTTGCCTGGAGTTATTCTTTAACCTCCCTGGAGGTATTCCCGAGTGTATATCGGGGTAAAGTTTCAGCACCACAAGCTGTAACCCTGAGCTACACTCGGGAATACCTTGCAGCATTGCTCCGGGATCTTTTCGTCACTTACCTTGTCCTTCTCTCCCGCGATGTCCCCCCTGCAGTGTCCCTGGCAATGTCCTCAGGCCGATTGCCAGGGACACTGCAGGGGGGACGCATTCTGGGTTCCATTCCCTGCGACATCAGGACGTACGGGGGATGGAACGTCGGGAAATTTTAACATTTTAAAAGTGACATTCACTAAATACACTAAAAATCACATAGTAAAACATTGCTGTATCAAACCATTTCACATACATTTTGTCCCGAGTGCTTTGTCCTGTGCCCTGCCTGCATTTTTACTGTTCTTTCTGCCTTTAAAATGAGAAAAGTCCATGGCGTCCAAAAAGCGTCCCTTTAGGTCAAAAGCAGTTTTAGATCAGCTAGAGAACAGCGATAGTAAATTAGAACCACTTGCAGAATTGAGTGATAATGATTTGTGGGAAAATTCGTCATCAGACACTGAAAACGATTTTGCGACTTTGCTCAGTGATGTGCAAACTTAGCGCTATATTTCAAATTTCAGTGTTTTTGGTTAGATTATATTATTGAATTAAATTTATTATTAGTATATTATTATTTTTTGATTATTTATTAAATTATAATTTATGATTTCGTGTTTCAAATTTAACATACCCGGGATGTTTAATTGACTCTTGTTCGGACAGATTTCAGTGAGTTATTCCTAAGAATTACAGGCCTACAATAAAAAAAACTACATATTTCCATGCAAAATGTACCGCTTTGAGCACAGAAATATGGACATAATCAGACCGCTAGGGAGGTTAATGAAAGCTGCAGATTTAGAAAGATTAGAAAGTACACTGAAAATTACAATAACATGGTATGCTTGTATAAAAATATAAGTGATTGGGGTTACTTCTACTTTAACTTCCCTTCACTTTATTCATGCACTGTAGACAAAGTAAAACCCCATTTTTTTTGGCATAGGGGAACATGTGACTCCCTGTACAGACTGAGCGACCAATAACCAAGCACAAATCATGCTATTTGGGAGGATCTTTGTCCCCATATAAGTTTTGACCAGATTGATCTGCAGCCCAGGCATAGGACTGTTGTTTCTTAAAGACCCAGAACTAACATAAACAAATGAAATCATAAGACCTCACCAAAGTTGCTGATTCCCTTGTTTAGTGGCTGTCTGCTCACATTCTCTTTGATCCCCAAGCAATTAAAGAATCTTCATCCTATTTTGGAAGTCAAAGGTCCATGTACCTGCTGGTGAATCTGAAGCTGGCGACACCTTGCCAATGGCAGAATCACAGAGGTGCGACCAGGGCCGAAGCTAGACTATTTTGTGCCCTAGGCAAGACCAGCTACATGCACCCGGTAGAAAAAATGGTAGTACCAAAAAAAAAATGGATTTAGAAAAATATGCCATAAAATCAACAATATTAAGGACAAAATCAGTATTCTGGCCAGATTATATCTGTGACTGGCAGTGGCAGGGGGACTTTTGCAGTGAGTGGAGGATGACACACACACACACACACACACACACACACACACACACACACACACACCACACACACCACACTGTGACAGATCCAACACAACACGCCACCACCAACAATGACATAGATCAGCAGGCACTAGAAGAACAGGCTTTGAAATCGTGATGATATCATCACTCACTGACACATTGCACATGTGATGGATGGCCAGCCGGGTCACACTCACAGGCATGAGACATCAATCATTACCTTCCTCCACAGGTGCATCTCCACTGTTGAGCAGGAATAGAAGGGCTGGAATGCCACAGTGTTAAGCAGCCTCCAGCCGGCTTGCAGTAAGGGACTGAGTCTGAGAGGAACACTGGAAGGATCGGCAGTTCAGCTGCTACACTGGCCCCAGAAACCCTGCATCTTCTTCTGTGCTTTCTTCCTCCCCTCTGCTGCCCCTCCTCTGAGCTGGAGGATCATTCATGATGTGATGGCATCACTGAGAGAGTGCCCAGATGCCCCTAAGTGGCAGTGCACCCTAGGTGGCTGCCTAGTTTGCCAAGTGGAAGCAACGGCCCTGGGTGCGACTAACACAGTCTCTTAAGGGGTTCCTTTCTCGCTATAGATCCATGTTAGCAAGGAGCAGCAAGGGAACAACATCCTTATGGTTCAACCAGTGGTCAAGAGACACCAGAGGAGTATAGATAGCACCACATGGTCCTAAAGTTGGCCACACATGGAGTAAATTTCATCTGAATCCTGATGAACCAGCTGAAATTCACTCAATAGGCAGTCCTGTCTGGCATCTGTTACCTGACATCCCTGGATTGAAAAATCAAAAGCGCTGGGTGGAAAATCGTTGGCTGAACCAATCAGATGCAGCTGCTGTTCAGGTATTTTGATGGCTGGTGAAGCTGGCTGTCAAAATACAATAGCCATGGCAGCAGATTTGTACATCCATGCTGTGTAGTGTAAATGGAGGAATCCATTAGATGGCCAATGTTTATGGCCAAACTAAGTCTGAGGTGGCAAGTTTCAGGAATCGCAATTTTTATGGAATTAATCATTCACTACAGTTCAGCACATTTTTAAAATTAGAACTTGCATTATGCAGGCCCCTTGAAATGAGTAAAAAATGCATGAAAACAAATACAGTACATCATGCAATTTTGTGCATTGTAAACCCCAGGGCACATACCATGTACGTTTCTCCCTGTCTGTGCATAAAACATCATCAGTGAGTTCTAAATATAAAGGAACCCTCATTCCATTTTCCCACTAAAGCCCATAATTTCTAGTTATGCTTCTGATGCAGAACATTTTAGCGATAATAAAAATGCACTCACTGATGTTTTATTTCTTCTAGAAACTGTATGTTTTTTTCCATCCATAGTGAATCCAAGCATAGGGAGTCAGTCTCCAGATTCTGTATTTGAATTCATAGTGCTTTAACGAACAATTGATTTTTGTGTGCAGAAAAAATTGGATGCCTCAAACTGGAAGTGGAAGAAATAACATTGACTGTAACCAACCAGAAGAAGAAGCTCGGTGTCATTCTGGAGGAGGTCTCCCGATGTCTACAGCTGGAAGACAGTTACCTGAAGTGGAACGTGGCTTGTAAGTACCACATATCCATTCTGCAAGATTTTAGGCTATTATTGTGTAATGGAAGAAGTTCTCTTGTTGAGCAGCAGGTCACCTCCATGTACACAATAGCAGTAACACTGTTGTCCCTCTTTTTATTTCTGGGGGGTTCAGTTCATGGCTGAGTCATGTTTTTAGTGTCCCCCAACCTCTCAACCCCAAGTTGCCAAGGCAGCAGACAAAACCACCTGGCTGTCGTACTTGGTGGGCAGTAGCGCCCAGCAAGTGTGACCCATTCACCATATGTTTGTGGTGCAGATTGTTAGGTGTTAAAACAGGTGGTGAGGAGGCTCTCTGAAGAGCTATCCACCACAGATTACTCCTTAGAAGGTACCCCAAGCATAAACAAGCCCTTACTATGCAAACTGAGCTTTGGCAGTAAGTGCACACAGCTTTATCTCCTAAAAGAAATCAAATTCCTTTTGGCACAATTTTTGAAAGGTTAAAAAAAACGAGTGCACTGCCCACCACAAGATGGTGCCCTTTGCACCTACCCAAGTTGTACACTAAGACTGGCCATACTATAGATTTTTCTTCAGATTTTTGCTTTAGATTTACCAAAAAAAACCATATAATAGGAGGTCAAACCCAAACAACTCTTTCAGTTGTATCCAATCAGGCAGGCCCTTGCACTACACAATTGAAGGTAAATCTAAAGTTAATTGGGCAGAAATTGGACAGAAAATTGTATAGCGTATGGCCAGCCTAAGGGGATTATTTGCTAAAACTGCATAGTGCAAGATCTGGTGCAGTTCTGCATAGAAACCAATCACCTTCTAGGTTTAGGTTTCAAAGCTTAATTGAACAAGCTGAAGTTATAAGCTGATTGGTTCACATGCACAGCTGTACCAGTTTCTGAGTGTACCAGTTTTAGTATGTCTCCCCAATAGACTTGGGAGAGAGGAGTTGTGGAACACGGTCACCATGCATCACTACTAAACAGGAAGCGAAGCCTGCATACATAATGAACAGATATGGCTTCTTCTATGTACATACATAAGAAGCTAAAAGTAGATGATTTTTAAAATATTAAAGATTGGGAAGAGGGTGTACATTAAACTTTTTTTTTTAGTAAATCTGCCCCTAAAGGTTCTTTCACATGGCATGCTTAGCTCTGTTGAGCAGGGCATCTGTAAACTGATCCCCTGCTAAATCAGAGCAGAATGGGAAAGATCACTGTTGTGGCATCCATGCCCATGTAGTGTTTTGTCAGCAAAGATTTGCTGACCATGTTGGATCTTGGGCTGCAGGATGTAAACAGACGTGTGTCCGTTTGCATCAGGTTTCCTGTGATCTGTCACATTTAGGTCCAGGAAAAAGGAAACGTTTGCAGTGCTTTTCCATTTTTGGACCTGGAGATTTAGAGGTAGGCGAGATGTAAAGGACAAAAGTCCATTTACATTTTCATGGCCATAGACCTTCATGGAGCTTCTGATCACTTCCTCCTGAAAAACTGACAGGCAGAACTCATCAAAGAGCCAATGTGAAAGGGGCCTATGGCTGCATTTGCACAGGTGTTTAACCATCCTGCGAATCCCAGTGGCAAGAATCTATTGATTCCTGCAGCTGGGATTGCCAGCTGTGTGCGAATAGATGTGATTGTTCGCACAGCTAGTGAATTCCTTTGATTTCCATGGCTCGACGCATGCAAAGCGCAGGTATTTACTGGCTGTGCAAACAGCCAGGAATAGCAGCACTGCCGACAACCTGTCATCGCATTATACAGGCTCGGTGGCCACAGTTATCCACACACAGCTATCAATCTCAGCTGTATTAATCAGTAGTCATAGTGTATAATAAAATGTATTTACTTATTTACTACAGACACACAGACAGTTCCCCCCCTCTTTCACAGAGACCCATTAAATCAACAGAGTTTCCTTATCCCCTTAATCAGGGTCCCCTCACCCCCTTAAATGCCAGAGTTTATATCCCCTTACATCAGGTCCCCCTCACCCCCTTAAATCAGGTCCCCAGGTCCCCTTACATCAGGGTCCCCAGAGTCACCCCCATTAAATCAAGGTCCCCAGAGTTTCCTTATCCCCTTACATCAGGGTCCCCAGAATTCCCTTTTACATCAGGATCCAAAGAGTCCCCCCTCCTGCAATTGGGGTCCCCAGAGTCATCCTCTCTTACATCAGAATCCCCAGAGACACCTCTTTACATTAGGGTCTCCAGAGTCATCCCCTTACACCAGGGTCCCCAGAATCATCCCCTTAAATCAAGGTCCCCAGAGTTTCCCTTTCCCCTTACATCAGGATCCATAGAGTCCCCCCCCCCTTACATCAGAATACCTCTCTTTCATTATGGTCCCCAGAGCCCCCCTCCATAAATTAGGGTCCTCAGAGCCCTCCTACCTTACATCAGGGTCCCCAAAGTCCCCCTCTGTCTTACATAAGCATCCCAAGTGTCCCCCCTCCTTAAATCAGGGTCCCCAGGCCACCCTCCTTAAATAAGGGCCCCAGAGTCCTCTCCCTTACATCATGGTCCCCAGAGTCCCCCTTTACATCATAGACCCAAGAGTTCCCCCCTTACATTAGAATCCCCCCTTTCATTAAGGTCCCCAGAGTCCCCCCTCCTAAAATTAGGGTCCTTAGAGCCCTTCCACCTTACTTCAGGGTCCCCCCTTACATTAGGGTCTCTCAGGGTCCCCAGAGTCCCCCCTTACATCAGAACCCCCCTCAGAGTTCCCATACTGAAATTAGGGTCCCCAGAGTCCCCCATTATGTCAGGGTCCCGAGTTCCCCCCATACATCAGGGTCCCCTCTTACATCAGGGTCCCCAGAGTCCCCCCTCTGTCTTACATAAGTACTTACATAAGTTACATAACTTTACAGTGACATAAAGATCCTGAAAAAAATCTCACCCTGCAATAGAATAAAATAAATACTTACCTCTATTGATGTCTTCCTGAAACCAACATATATGGGAGTGTCAATTTGCTTTGTCCCCCATCTGCACTCAATGGTTTCTGCTGCTGACCTCCTGTGTCCTGTAGTAATGTTGAGGTTGGTGGGAGGAACCACTGAGCGCTGTGGGAGATATAGCAAATTACACTCCTAAAGTGCAACAGCGCTAGGGTTTCCCTGATGATTAATCGGATAAATAAAAGGGGAATATATAAATAGATGAATAAATTCATGCAAATAAGCTGCTAGCATAGAAAGTAAACCTCAAAAAACTTTGGATAGTATGTAAATAAAAATATGCAGTGGCTTCTCATATGTTAGAAATTTAACCTGATCGCATAAATTAAACATAAATTAAGCAAGATTCATGATTAAAATAAAGCATTAGAATATTAAAATATTAAATCCTTGTGACTTCTGTGGTGCATCAGAGGTTGAGAAACCAGAGGAAGTTCGTGACTCTTGTTTGGTGAAAAAAAGCTGCCAAGAAGAATCAAGCACCTTCAAAAGGCTCACCCTAGGGGCTCCCTTAACAAAGAGAGCCACAGGCCAGAAGCTTTGATATTGTAGTAGGTATTTATTTGACGCTACCTGCAGTAATTTCAAATGGCAATAAAAAAAAATTACAAAATTCAAAATGCAGCCAAACCATAGGGCAGCTGCTTGGCACAGGACCTGGAAGTGGAGTAAGATTTCCAGGGATCCCACAGTTGGGGGGCACACTCCCTATCCAATGTAAAAGCTTCTGGAAGGGCCTGTGGCTCTCTTATTATTTGGGACTTTTGGGAGCCTGGGCTTTTTGAAAAAGCTTGCTCGATTCTTGTATGGCTATTTCTGTGGGTGACTGATTTGCTGGATTGCGGTGTAAAAATTCCCTGCCTTATTTTTGGCTGATGTACATCTCTGGGACCTTCCCGTAATTGCTGAAATTGCCTCAACATGCCCCCAAGATCTGTTGTTGGTGTGCAGTTTTTGATACGTGTCCTTGAATCATCCTCTACAGTGGCTTCCTTTCAGAGTACGTAAAAAGAGAGTAGGTGCCTTATTATTAGAAAGTTCCATGTGCTGAGACATCTGAGTTAGTGCAAGCTATTCTCATGATTTTTCAAGCACAAGAGCTTCTTAAGCCCCGAAACACCTCTGGAATTCTCGAACGATCTCCGTTTTGGCCTGCACCACATCGAAGTCACAAGTTAATATTTTAATATTCTAATGCTTAATTTTGAAATCATGAATCTTGCTTAATTTTATTTTTTTTATGCGATCAGGTACTGAATTTCGAAAATCATACGAGCGCTGCATGTGTTTTATTATATAGAGGCAGAGGAGCAAATTGACACCTAGATGGAAGTGAGGTCCTGAAAGGGTGTACCTCATATGCCCAACTTTAAGGTGTGATTAAAATCTAAAATATTAAAACACAATACAGCCGCTGATCTCAACACTTCCCTTGTCTGCTGGTTCTTCTTTCTTGAAAGGTTGTCTTTCTTCCCAGTGCAACCCGTGCTGCCTGAGCTTTCTGGTTTTCGGGTGGCAATCGTCTTTTGATTTACCAAAACTGTAATATGAGATCAAACCTGATCAATATGTTTAATTTGTATCCAATCAGTCAAGGTAATTCACTAGATACTAGTAGCTTAAAGAAGATTGTACATTCAGATTGTGTAGTGTATGCCCGGCTTAGAATGCATTATTTATTCCAAAGGAATTTAGTTTCACTATAAGACAACTTGTTTTGGGCACTTTAAAACATGTTTAGGGCTGATTCACACCAGATGCAATCCAGGGCATTTTTTTCTGCATGGACAGTGTTTTCTGTGTATTGCAAAGGCCCTAGTTCACACCAGTACAGTCAGTTCCAGTGCAGAAAAAAATAGAACATTCTGCATTTTTTCTGCACAAAAATGTACTGAAACACAGCAAAACGTATTCAAAAACGCACTGGAATGGAGTGTGTGTGAAACATAAGAAAAATGCATCCGGAACACATCCAGAGTGTGTCTTTGTGGTGTGAACTGGCCCTTCACCTGTTCATGCTGACAGTACGCAAATATGCGGCCTCTG